CTAAGCCACACCACACAACTGGCCTTTAAGTTTCATAGGGAAAAAGAGAAGTGACATAAACCCTGCCGTGTGATAGCCATAGAAGGACTCTTACAATAGGAATATCTAATATTGATGTCAATCTTCCTTTCTGCATGACTCAGCAAGATTTACTGACTGTGGTTTCAAGAAATACAGTAATATCATTACTATCACAAAGTCACCCGTTACCACTACTTACCTTTTACCAGCTCTGGCCTGTACAGGCTGACTGACCAAACTCATCTCACAAAGTGGCAGGAGATTAAACCAGAAAATACACAAAATCTATAGAAAACTGCTTGCTGGTTAGATGAATTGGCCGCAGAAGTTCAATGAGCACGTGAGCCATTGCAAGAGATGGCGAGAATCATGCATCTGAAGGAGACAGGCTTGCAGGACCTGAACATCCCATATTCTTATCAACAGCAAATCACCAGATCAACATCTCTGGAAATTGCTTAATGATTCACTCCAGCAAATCTACCTTACAAAACAACAGGTTCTAGGAGAGCAGGTGAAGTGAAGATGTGGTAAGTACCTCCACGCTCACAACATGAAGTTTTAACATTTTAAGGTTTAATAAAAAAGTAAAACACAAATGTTTCAAAGAACTCTAGAAGAAAAAGCTTTTTATCGTTTGCTTTATGACTTTTTATGTTTTTGTTACCAAGCCTAACACTACCCTGATTTTCTGAAATACATTCTGCAACACAAAATTAAAAGCTCAAGAACCTTCTTAGATTCTTACTTTCAAATTCTTCAAAAAGAGAAGTATCAGGGGGAAGCAGACAATGTCAAGCAAACAAAAGTTTGGAAACTTTTCAGAGGCCATTTACTCAAAGGAAAAAAAAGATGAAATACCTTGAATGATGATAAACTCACTCTAACTTGAGAAAAAGAAGCCTCTCTAGATTCACATCAGTCATTTCCTCCTGCCAAGTAACTACTCTGAGAGCTGCATCAAGGATTTTTGCTGACCTTGCTTGCAGTAAGGCTGCTCTATAGCCACAGGCTACTGATTTCTAGCAGTGTTTAATTACTCAGAAAGCATGAACTAAGACAGTGCCTATGACACCTACGAAACTGTAAAGATAAAGGTAAACTGATGCAGATTGTTATGTTCTAAGATGGACACTGCTTGGCAGGACTCAAGACATGCAGCAGGGGAATAGCTACATAATAAAATCAACCACGGAATAAAGTCACTTATGACAGTCCGAACCAATAAGGCAGGAGGATTGTAACTGTAGCAATTTGACCAATATGAGGGGAAAGGCATTACAACATAAGTGTGATGACAGAAGGACCAGCAAAACAGAAAGGTGCTACAAAGGAAGAGAAGAAGATTGCTCACCCGTATCAGAAGATTGCATGTTCACAGCAGAAAGTTTCACCAAGAAGGGATCTCCAAGCAGAGATCCTTCCCCAGTGGCAGTCAGCCCTTAAACGAGGTCTAAGAGAGGTGCAGCCAGGCTCCACCTCTTCTGCTCACACAGCTGAACTGCCTTCACCTGTGCTCTCAGGGCTGACCAGGACCTTTCCCCAGGTGCTCAATCAGTGCTTCAGGCTGTGACTCAACAGTTCCCATACAAATAACTAAATAACAAAAACTAACAGAAGACAATTATCTGCCTAATAGAAGTACACAAACAGAAAAGACAGGGAGCTGCAGATATTGATTCTGTTGTTTTTCACATTTCTGCTTTCAGTTAGAGTGCGTGGAGATTTCTTCACACAAACAGAAAACACTTATTTTTCCTGTAACTCAATTTAAACTTTCTGATTTAAATACTTCGGACTTAAAACATACAGACCAAAACAGTCCATAAAACCTTCAAGTGTAATCCTAGAGTTATAATGACCTAACTGCAAAGCATTTGAGAAACACAAGAGACAAGAACTTGACTGAAACAAACATTTTGAAAGTGGTTTCAAAGAAAAAAACCAATAACAAACCAAAAACAAAACAACAAATACACTGTCTCTTCTGCTGAAAATTAATTCCTTAGGGTACAGAACAGTTACTTCTTATAGGACGGGGATGGCAAATAAGTAAGAGCTTTACTTTTCAATACCTCATTATGTTTTTGTCTGCTTTGGCAGATCAGATTTGCTTTTCTAGCCATCTAACATATAGTATCTCATCTCACAAGATTTGTCAAAGTTGCTTCACTTAGAAAAGTGTTAATTGCTGTGTACATTTAAATAAAAAGCTGGCTTATCTTTCCATATTAAGTGCTCTGTTTCATGACATTTCTAACAAAAACACCAAACTTGCCGTACCTGTTTAGCAAAAAATATTGTATCCAGTCTGGAATCTTGAACAACAGAACCTGCTGGTTCCTCTCCTGGCTGCCACTTGAAAAGGAATATCAGCCCATGCACCGGTCTAAAATATCAAATTCATAGGAAAAAAAACCACAAATAAACAGAACAACAATTAACAAAATAGGTGTTTCTGGCTTTAGAATTTTTTTAATACATCTATGATAGTTTAACTGTATGCTGTTACAGTAATCCTCTTCATTATTTACTTATAAACACAGGGAGCTTGCACTGCAATTTTCAGTTAGCCTTTTAATTACGGAGAATGTACTTAAGGCTTCTTTCCATACAAGCTGCACAGTTCCAGTGGAATTTGCATTTAGCAAGTCAAGACCAGTTTTTATGGTCACTGTAATGACAATAGGTGCAAAACACCCTTTATGACCTATGAGCAACTGGGTAATATTTTTATAGTTATTTATTGATCACACATAAGAAATGGAATGAGTTTCAGTACTCCTTTTAAACATAAAATACTGAAAGATAAGAGGAGCTCCTCAAAGGATGCAATGCAAACCAAGGCTAAAATCACTAGAAAACTCTTCTCACATTCTAGCTGCTACTATCAGCTCTACCCACAAACAGAAAAGTTAGTTAATGAAACAAAGCATTAATAAAAGGTTATTTAATTGCGAAGTACTTGATTAAATCAAAACCCTGATGTAATTCCGTGCAAACTGAACACCCACCACCCAAGCATAGGACAAGCTTCTTGCACAGTTCACACAAATATAAATAAAAAACATACAACTTAGAAAGGAAAGTTCCTTACTTCAATTTTTCAAAGTTTTCCGGTTCTAAACTCCATATTTCTTCTACTTGTGCTCCTCTACAGCCTGCACAAAAAAAAAAAAAAAAAAAAAAAAAAAAAAATAGAATGGCTTAGGTTGAAAAAGACCACAATGCTCATCTGGTTCCAACCTCCTGCTGTGTGCAGGGTCACCAACCACCAGACCAGGCTGCCCAGAGCCACATCCAGCCTGGCCTTGAATGCCTCCATGGGGTATCCACAGCCTCCTTGTGCAACCTGTTCCAGTGCATCACCACCCTCCGTGTGAAAAAAAACTTCCTCCTTAATATCTAACCTAAACCTCCCGTCTCCGTTTAAAACCATTCCCCCTTGTCCCATCACTATCCATCCTTGTAAAGAGTTGTTTACCCAAACAGATCTATTCTCATTTCCTTCTATTTTCTCTTTGTAGACATCCACCAAGTTTTTATTTTTCACTCTCACTGGTCATAAGCCAGCAACAGCTTCATGATTTCTGGGTTACAGCAGCATATGAGAACAGCCAAGCTCATTAATTCCTATAAACTTCTCAAGAGAATCATTTCTCACACACTAACTTCCTTCTACTGTTATAAGATACATTTTAAATGCCATGTGCAACACTTTATTTTTTGTGTGAACTACAGAATTTTAGCAGATAGAAAGGACCAAATTAATGCCTGCTCTAATTTAAGTGATTTCACCAAGAGCTCAGTGAAATTCAATTACCTTCTGATCTTCAAATGCTGGAAGAGATTGTTATGATAACATGGATCCACACCATGGGACAAACAGATATCAAAGCGTGTAAGTAAATTGTAAATTAGGTGGTTATTATCGCGTTTTAGGATACACAGCATTACAAAGCAGTTTTATAAAAACTTCCCCCCCCCCCCCCAAAAAAAATATGGAAGATTAACACATTATTTAAACAAACGCAGAAGTAAAACTAGACTTAGCTGTGTAACCGCAATAGGCTAAACAGAATAATTGGAAATCTGCATAAAACCCAGCGTTCTGAAAGCAGCCCCTCGCAGGTCACCCAGCAGCACGGTCGCGCCGCTCATCTTGCTCCCCAGCCACCCTCCTCACAGCCCACACACAAACACACACACACACGGCCCGCAGCCCCGCCCGCTCCCTACGAGCGGCTCCCTACGAGCGCTGCCGCAGCCGGAGACACGCGGCGGGGCCTGCTCGCCGTAAGGCCTACAATACAACAACGCCCCTCCAGGTTCCGCAACGCCTCCGCTCCCTCACCGAAGCCCTTGATGAGTTCCGTGAAGACGCCCGGGTCGCTCTCCATGAGGCACCACTCCCCGGCGCTGCTGCCTCCCGCCATGGCGGCAGCCCGCGCGCTGCCCTCGGGCGGTAGGTGCCGCCGGCCGGCTACGCCGCGAGGCCGAGACGCGCCACTCCCTTCCCGGCAGGCCCCGCGACACGCGCCGCACCTGGCATCTCTATGGTGAGGCAGGGCGGGAGCGGGAAGCGAAAGCGACGAGCGGTTCCGGGTCAGCAGCAGAAACCACTTCCGGGTCAGGGCGGCGGCGGGCACGAGCGTTGCCGTCTCCATCCGGGCACTGAGCGCGGCGGCGCGGGGCGGAGGGCGCGGCTCCATCCGGGTCTCGGGGATGCTGTCAGGACGCCGGCGGGCGGGGCCGCGTGTGGGGGTGCGGGACCCGCCTGGGGCCGCTCCGAGCGCTCACGACCGGCTCCGCCGCCCCCTGCTCCGTCGGGCCCTTCGCATTCCTTCGCTCGAAGGGATCCGCCTCGGGACCGCGCCGCTGCTCGGGGTCGGAGGTCGCACTGGCCCGGGCGGGCGACGCCCCGCGGCATCGAAGGCAAGTGGCAGCGGCCGGCCCGGGGCGGCTGTGGCGCGGTGGGCGGGAGGATGAGGGTTGCTGCGCCGTGCGCTCGCACACGAGGCGGACTGCGGGCTCCCGGTAGGTCCTGCAGGGTTCAAGTAGTCTGGTGTCGGCTGCAGGGCTCTCCATTGGTCATCTGGGTCACGGGCTGTTAACGTTCCCCTTTAGATAGCAATGCTTGATTCGGATCAGAAGCACTCACGTTGCTCTCAGGGCTCTACTGTGCTTTAGGAGTGCTGAGCTCCACAACTGACCTAACGTTACTGAAAGGGGGAAGGGGGGATGAACGTGGTTTCTCGCAGAAAGCATATCTGGATTTTAAGGACAATTTTAAATGTTGACTTTAAACTTTATAGGCTTTTTTTTTCTTTTAATAAAGCATCAAACTCAGTCAAACTCCATGTTTTCACTGCAAAGTTTGTTTCATCATCAGCCTAAAAACCTATGGTTCTATTAAAGCTTTCTGCTCCAGATGGATTATTTTCACATGTAACTGAAACTTGCATTGTATAGCATGTCTTAAGAAAACCAGCAGTAATTTGTAGCAGTCATAGAAAATGTGGTAGAGATCAGCTTGTGAACTCAATTGTGTTAGGGTAAATATGGGTATCAATGTGCTCCTCAGTACTTAAGCTCCATATGGGCTGCTACATGCCAGGCAAAACCATATTTTGCTTACAGGTTAATTTATGTTGTGCTTGAAATATATACATTCCTTTACTGTTGTTTTTACTTTCCTCTCTAGAAGACAGTATGGTAGATTATATTTTTTCTTTTGATAAACTCCATGAAGAAGTTACATTTACAAATGGTTAAAACTACGGAAGTGAAATGAATTTATAGCAATTATTTTCTAAAACTAATGGTTTAATTTCAACATCTCAGTGTTGATCATGGATATTCACTGGTAATATTTCTCCTGTTAGTGGGAACATGTTCAAACTGGGCAGGTTCATACCAGTACTCATTCATTCATTTCTTTTGTTATATTTAGTCTGTGACTTAAGGCTTTTCACATTGCTGATTGCATTCAGGTAACTCAGAAGCTGGGAATATTCCAGAGCCAAAATAGTACTGCTGAATTTTCCATCAGGGCTTGAAATTCACATTCATTGTTACAGCTCAGAAGCAATAGTAGGGTTTTGGTAAAGCACCCATTCAATGCATATTTGCATTTAGTCATCTGCAGGAATGAGATTTGTCTGCGTTTTAGAGATGTGAAAGGAAGAAACTAACAATGAAGTGTGGGCAGAGGATAGGGACTAGATAGCAAGATGGAGTAGCTTTGGGAGCTTGGTACTCTGAAATACTAAATAGGATTAAGAAGCAGCCAGTATGATTTAAGTAGTTCAATGCTGAATAAGGAAGGGCTTTTAAAAAACACTTACAATTTGTGTTAGGATCCACGACATTCTGTTGATTTGAACTGCTCTTTTAAGTCCCCCAAGGCAGCTCTGGAGCCAGGAGGACAGGTTCTGCAGGCCATAACCTGAGTGTGCTCACTGGCACTGCAGCAGGTAGGGATCACAGGCTGCAGAAGAGAGAGAAGCTTCTGCCCAAGAGGCAGGCAGCAGTGATTCCCAGCCTCCTATGAACAAACCCTCCCTGGTCCTACTCCCTACTCACTGTCCCAGGGCTGAGTCCCTGCAACACTCACCTCTGCTGCTATGTCCCCTTGCTCAGGAACCCCACAATCCATTGGTGTGTGCATTCAGTCACCAGCCTGGGTCTCCATCACCTTCTATTGATCAGTGATTTTCTTTTGTACTGGTGATTTGGAAAAATAAAATTTGCAAATTTACTGTCTCCAAAGTTATTTACCTTCTGTGAACTATTTCCTCTCTGAAACTAGAGACTTTTTTTTTGCTGTTCTGGTTTGGATAAAATACAAACTGGTGGCAATCTCTGCAGTACGCTTACCTTTTACACCAAGTGCTGATGTAATAGCACATTGTTAGCTTATGCTTTCCTATGAAACCTACTCTATGGGACCTGCTGTAGCAGGGGGTTGGACTAAATCATCTTCAGAAGTCCTTTCCAGCCTGCACAGTTCTGCAATTCTGCAGTAAGTATAACAGAGGGAAATCCCAGCCTCTGCAATTTGAATGATAGGAATAAGATTTACTGCAAATATGCCCTTTTATTGAGAAAATTGTTAACTAGAGCTGTGGCTCACATGCTAAAGACTGATCCAAAGGAAATAAGTGTCACGGAAATACCAAAAGCAGCTCAGTTTGAGTGCTTTGAAATAAGCAATAGGCCTGGTTCTTCCAAAACAATTGCTCGGATCTAAAGGGATCTCTACATGTTTATACATGGTCTGTAGGAATTAAACATGAAACCATATAACCTCTATTCTTGGTGACCTAGCCTGGAGATTCAGCAGCCTCCATAGGCATCTTAAGTGCCAAAAGAGGCAAATGATGATGAAAGGAGGTTTTCCACTGAGGTGGTGAGGCCATGGTACGGGCTACCCAGAGAAGTTGTAGATTACTGTCTTGAATCCCTACAGAGATTAGGCTAGGTGGGATCCTGGGCAGCCTGATGTGGTACCCAGTTAGCAGTTGGGATCCTGCCCATAGCAGCTGATTGGAACCAGATGAATGCGAGATCTTTTCTATCCTGAACCATTCTATGATCCCTATCCACAATCATAGGCACCTATGGGTGCCTTCTAGTTCAGGATATTCTATGATTTTATCTGTAGAATTAGAAGCGTGAGAATTATTCTAATTAAGTTTTGTTCCCATTTTCAAGTGAGGATAACAGTAGCCAATTTATAATAATGATTATAAAACTACACACAAGGACAACATAACTTCATCAGGTGAGAAATAAAGTGGGCACATATAATGATACAATAGAACGATTATAATTTTTAGATACAGCAAATAAGAATGAGCCCAAGCGTAGCAGCCACAAACACAGAAATGAAGAAAAAGAGCTACTTACCTTTAGAAGACCTCAGATAGGCAGGGGTATCCAACAAGAAATACTCTCACCTCCACTACCAACCCTGAAATGAGGTCTGGGAAGGGTGGATCCTGGCTCCAGCCCTTCCATCACTTAGGTTCATTGCACACACCTGAGCTTCCCTGGGTTGATCCTGCCTTCCTAGCAGGTGCTCAATCATTGCTTCAAGCTGTGTCTTAGCATTTCTGCTACAGTATTTAAATGGCACCGATGCAGATTGAAAACATAGGAAAAAATGCAAAAAAAAAAAATTAAGGAATTGTGTTTATACTTATCTAACACAATCTTTTTGGATAAATGTTGTAATCTGTGAGATTATAAGTGTTTTATTTAACTGGAGATGTGGCCCTTCCAGTTCATTATAAGCCTTGGTAACCCATCAGTGGGTGAGAAGACTTTTCTTACTTGCCTCATTTTAATGTAATGTACATTATGGCACAGATATGGAAGCTGCAACAAGAAATTATTTCATAGAGTTTATCTATGTAGAGATCTAGTTATTCATGCAGAATCCTGTATGCTTCCTGTTTTTAGTTATACTTGAGGGTAATGGTATTTTTCCATTACCTGTTAATGTGGCTGGGAGTTTTTTTTTTGTTTTTTTTTTGGTGTTTTGTTTAGTTGGTTTTTTGGTTTGTTGGCTTATTTCCCCTGAAAAATGTACTAATGCACTCTGAATGGGATTTTGGGATTTTTGTTATTTTTGTTTGGGTCTTTACAAAATATTACTGTATGCGAACTGTTGAGTCAGGCCTGAAGCACTGATTGAGCACCTGGGAAAAGGTCCTGGTCAGCCCTGGGAGCACAGGTGAAGGCAGTTCAGCTGTGTGAGCAGAAGGGGTGGAGCCTGGCTGCACCTCTCTTAGACCTCATTTAAGGGCTGACCCTCACTAGAGGCTGTATAGTAAAAATGTGTGTGTTTGTTGTTATTATACTTTTTTAATTTAAGAGCTCAACTTTTATCTCATTTAAATTTCATTTTTATTATTTTAGTAGCCTGTAGAATGTAGTGGGGGCTGCTGATGGTTGTTTGTTTTTTTAATTCTGGGTATAGGTAGCATATCACTGTAGGTAGGCAAGAATGGAGGAAGGGTAATTCCCTTGAAGTAAGGGAAGTCATAAATCATTGTGTAATATTTTGCTTATCTCTATTGAGAAGAAAAGTTTTTTGTCTGTTAGTGGTATTTCTTTATGCTTACTTACCCTGATAAAATAATTACATTCATCATCGTCTCGAAAAGTGCATCAAAGGCAGCTATGTGCCATACCTAAAGATGGGTAAGTGGATTTCTTGGAAATGCCACTTGTGGGTGCATGCTTTATGTAGAGATTAGGTTGCTCTATGTGTATGTAGCATGATAACTGAGCTATTTAATGTCTTTTTATTGTTAGATGAGAACTGAGGAAACTGTATTTATTGTTGTTTCATGAATGTTTTGGGAACGGTGATGATAGTGATGACTGGATCAGGCTGATCTTTAAGATCTGTGATTCTATGATAGTTGACTATGGAGGTGTGTGCTGTGTCAAGGAGCAGAGGTGGACTTTAGAATGTAGCAGCTTTAATAAGACTGATTGATGAAGATGGAGGCTATAAAGTGGTTTTTTTTCCTTGTTACCCTGCTGACTGAATTCTACTTATGCTTATTTCAGTTTCCATATTATGGGCTGAATATTACCATCCTAATGTTCTTCAAGTAAGAACAGTATTGTTGCATACAGATACTTCTGTGGAATTCTTGAAACTCAGGAGTATATGAAGAACTGAAGGATTGAATTCTCATGGTGCTTTCTTTCCTTTTTACTAAAAATGTAAAGCAGTAGAGAATTTCTGTGTTTTTTTAGGTCTCACTTGATGCAGCAGGCTATTTGAGCTTCTAATATAGTTTCGTTTTCTTTTTCTTGAGCTACTGTCAGTCGTTAAGAAGCTATTGTGTAAAAAGCCTCACTGAAACCCACTGTATTTAAATTCTAAATCTTCTGATTAAATATTCTTCCAGCATTTTACTTTATTTTAGCATTGTGTTTCTTCACTTGGTGAGTTCTATCATCCTTCCGTGAAATTGAGTGGAACAAGATCCCAATTTTGTCCAAATTCAGCATGCAAACCAAAAACCTACTTAGAAAATAGTGTAACATATTTGTGGCAAAGAAAAGTGACGTGACCACTGTTTTAAAAGTAAAGCTCTTCACTAAGAGAGTGGTGAGGTGCTGGAACAGCTGCCCAGAGAGGTTGTGGATGTCCTGTCCCTGGAGGTGTTCAAAGCCAGATAGGATGGGGCCCTGGGCAGCCTGGTCTAGATTAAATGGGGAGGTTGGTGGCCCTGCCTGTGGCAGGGGGTTGGAGATTCATGATCCTTGACGTCCCTTCCAACCCTGGCCAGTCTGTGATTCTGTGATTTTTCTCTATACCACTGGTTGGCATAAAGTAGTTCCTAGGGAAACTACTACTAATTAAAGGAATTAATTCATTGTTGTAACTTGGGAGGTAGGGAAAAAATTTCCAATCGCTCATTGGGTTTAGTTATTGCACACTTAGAGCATACTTGTAATAAGCTTATGAAGAAAAAAGGCAAGGTGTATAGATCTGATATATGTACTTAAGTTAGAACTGAGAAAAGGATATAGTCAGAAAGCTTTTGTAGTAGTTTTAAATGAATATTACCATTCTTTTAGCAGACCTCTTGGAAGTGCAAACAATGGAGGACGAGGCAAACCAAGTGCAACCCCCGAATGAAATGCAGGTGCCGAACTCCGACAGCAATTACGTGTGGCACGTCACCGACATGAATCGACTGCACCGCTTCTTGTGCTTCGGTTCAGAAGGTGGTTCTTACTGCGTCAAGGAGCAGAGGCTGGGCTTTGAAAATGCAGCAGCTTTAATGAGACTGATTGAGGAAGGCAGAGGTTGTGAAGTTGTTCAGGAAATTGAGACATTCAGTCAAGAAGGCAGAACAGCCAGACAAGAGCCCCTGCTTTTTGCGCTTGCGATCTGTTCACAGTGTTCTGATGCAAAAACAAAACAAGCAGCGTTTAAAGCTGTTCCTGAGGTGTGCTGCATACCAACTCATCTTTTTACTTTCATCCAGTTTAAAAAAGATTTGAAGGAGGGTATGAAGTGTGGCATGTGGGGCCGTGCACTGAGAAAAGCTGTGGCAGATTGGTACAATGGAAAGAATGGCATGGCTGTTGCGTTAGCAGTTACAAAATATAAACAGAGAAGTGGTTGGTCTCATAAAGATCTTCTGAGATTGTCCCACCTGAAACCTGCCAGCGAAGGTAATACGTTTTCATCCACCTGAAAATACTTCATTTTAAACCTGTAATATTAACAGTGGAATAATTTTGGAAACATGAATACCTGTGTTATCCCCAATAGGGGCTGATTTCATGTCTGGTGTGTGTAGCCAGTAAGTGCACGGAGTTGGTATCCACATAAAGGTCTCTATTTCAGTTCTGCACAGAATCAGGTGCTTAGCTATCCTTTGCAAAGTAAGCACACCCCTGACTAGAAGTGGTTATAGATAGCTGTTTACAGAATTACTTCTCTTTACGGTTTCTAATTGGTTATTCTGTTTCATCTTTAAAACACGCATATCATAGGGCTAGAAGATGGTACATCTGGGAAGGAATAGCTGCTGTTACATTCCCATCTCATTTCCATGCAAGAGTGTACAATCTTTAATGAGCTAGTAACCCTTAATAAGCTTGAAGGTCCCTCATTGGGCATTTTTCTTTCCTTTTTTGTTCATGTTAGCTTGTTGTCATGTACTTGTGAAGTCATAAACAATCTAACTACTTGTTTTTCACATACTTGCGGTCAAATGTTTATACTGGCTTGACCTTGGTTGTCTACACCACTGTGGAATGATGATTTCTTAGTGATTGTATTGTATAAATTACACTGTAAAGGTGTGAGGGATCATGTCAGAAGTGTAACTGTCTTCAAGGTAAGAAGTCTAGTTTTACTTTCCTTATGTCAAGAGAAGGTCAAATAATATAATAGTTCCAGTTTGTTCTTGTCTGTTTACAAATGCTGAAATAATGTTTTTTCATTAATCGGGAAGAGTGATGGTTTGGAATCCATTAGGCTCTTTATTTTCAGGGAAAATAACACAGTAATCAATATAGCTGTTTTAAATTGTACGGACCTGACCCTCTTTAGAACTGATCATCAGGTCTGGGAAGTTCCTGTTATGTTCTTTTCATTATTTCTTCATTTGGTTTTTAACAAAAAATAACCTGCTAACTTGTTTGCTGGAGTGACAGATGTCAGTATAAAGATTGTAATCCTGCTTGGAAAATATTTTCCTCTTCTATAGGTGTAGCTATTGTCACTAAATACATCACCAAAGGGTGGAAAGATGTCCAAGAAGCTTACAAAGACAAAGCAGTTTCTGCTGAGACTGAAAAGCTTTTAAAATACCTGGAGGCTGTGGACAGAGTGAAACACACAAAAGATGAATTGGAGGTTATTCATTTAATAGAGGAATATGGTCTTGTTAGGGAACATCTATTGACAAACCATCTGAAATCTAAAGAGGTAGGTTAACTTAAGGAGCTTTGTATTCTCCTTACAGTAACACTTAGAATATTAAGATTTCTGTTTAAAAAAAAAATACCCTTCTGCTATTTTTTCCAAATTATTTACACAAGTAGGTAATTACAGAACAAATCTTCACGTAACTTGCACATTTATTTTAAAATACACTTAATTAACATGCAGGTGTCAGTTCTTGTACTTGGGAATCTCATCTTGTTTTGCTTATTCTTTGCTCGGAGGTTTGGAAGGCGTTGCTGAAGGACATGCCCATTTCTGTGTTGTTGAGAAATCTAGGGAAGATGACTGCAAATTCAGTCCTTGAACCACGGGGCTCAGAAGTGGCAATAGTATGTGAAAGACTGCGAAATGAGAAACTGCTAAAAAAGGTAAAATTAATAAATGAATAAATTCATAATCATTGCCAACCTTTGACTCTTAATCTCTTCCTAAACTGTTCCTTTAGGCAACCCCTTTATGAAATATAGGAAGGAGTCTTTAAGAAATTTGTAGCTTATTCTTTTAAAAAAAACTGTGTAACTTGTTTACAGATGAGGTGTACTGACATCTGGTATCTTACACTAAGGCCATGGCAAGCTTTGCCTGATGGGTTCATCCGTTGTTTGTAAATCTTGTAATTTAGAGTCAGCCATACAATCCTAAAAAAGTGAATGGAAGGCACTTTTATGAGATCCCGGGAAGTGAATGAAGTAATTAGCTTAGCCTCTGAGAGGAAAAAGTGACAGAAAGGGAAGCCTTTCTCCTTTCATGTTGATTTACAGTCCATCAGAGGTATTACAGTAAGAGGGAAGAAGGGTTCTCCAAAGGCAATCCTTAGGAGTGTATTGGGAAATAGAGAAGGTGAGTGACTTTCTGATAGTTCTTTTTTAAGTTAAGTTGATTAGTGGAATTGAAAACAACAATTCCCTTTTTTCCTGTCTCACTGCTCTTTCCTTTCTGTTGTTTCTTCTTTAATTCTGTGTAATTACTGATGCACTGGAGAAAGGTATGCAAAGGTGGTAGGATAATACCTTGATAGAGGAAAGATGAGACAGGCATTCAGGTTTCCTAAGTTTTGCTGCTGGTGATTAATGACTTGAGCATCTCCAAGAGGAAAGAAACAATGTTTGTAACTCAGTAAATGAGTAAAGTGAAGCGATTTGAAATATTATGCAGCAGCAGCCACTACACAAACTCTTCAAAAATAATTAAAGCATGCAGATTTTGCATTATAGTCTTCATTTTAGTTTGTGCTGCTTCTTAATATGTTCTTATTAAGTTCAGGCTTCTGAAAAGTTACTTAATTACTGTGCCTGTAGGGTAGAATACATCCATTCCATGTATTGGTTGCATTAGAAACCTATAAATCTGGACATGGAAGCAGAGGGAAGCTTTGGTGGCGTCCTGATGAAGACATTTTAGAAGCTTTAGATGCTTCATTCTACAAAACTTTTGAGGTAATGTAATTCTATTTACTAGGCTTAAGTCTATTTTCTGAAAGCTTATAAAAGTATAAGTAAATGTTTACTGGTTGAATAAGAGTTTTCAAACTTGATAACAAAAATCTTAATGATTTTAACTGAATGGGGGAAGGGGGAACAAAAACTTAGTTTTTGGCAATGCTATTGTCCTGTAATGTTGTCCTGAAAAAAAATTAAAAAGCAAAACACATCTAGGTGGCAGGCAGAAGGAAGAACAAATTAATAACTTTTTTGTATATGTTCTCATTTGTCTTTCCTTTTAGACACTTGAACCAACAGGAAAACGTTTCTTAATTGCAGTTGATGTCAGTGCATCAATGACTCAAAAAGTTTTGGGCAGTGTGCTGAATGCTAACACAGTTGCGGCAGCAATGTGTATGGTGAGGCATTAAATTTCTCTATGTGCAACTACATGCAACTTGAGCTGTGATTCTGAAACAGAGGTACTCTAAAGCTGGTTAGAAATCAGGGGGAAGCTGCTCTATAGTATTCTTTTATGTGTGGAAGATATGACAGTGTGCCATACTGATAGTTCAAATGCTTAATCACGGCATCAGAGTGGCCTGGGTTGGAAGGGACCTCAAGGATTGTGAATCTCTAACCTCCCCTCACCACAGGCAGGGCCACCAATCTCCCCATTTAATAGTAGACCAGGCTGCCCAGGGCCACATCCAACCTGGCCTTGAACACCTTCCAGCGACCAATTTCCAGTGGTAATCAAAGTGGTTAAGGATGCTTTTTCACTCTGCTTAACTGAAAATACATAGAAAGCAATTCAGAAGCGTTGATAATTTAATACAGATTGGATTAAGAAAACTTGGGGTAATTTTTATATGCATTTGAACTATCAATGGTTCCTCTGTATCGCAGTAGCTTTTGCCTCTGTTTGGTATTGTACAGTTTCATGTGTGTTTATATTAGAGTGGAACTTGTTTGGTTTTAAACATGTAGTGTTTTATGTCAGAAGGGAGAGAAGTAAGGAAATACATTTAGTGACAGTAATTAGAACAGCTCTTAAGCTCTGATTTTTTTTTTTTTTGTGTTGTTGTTTATTCACACAAATTGCAGAATATTTAAAGTACAGGGTGAAACTTTAGCGTATATGAGTCCCAGTGACTTAAATAAGGATGTGATGTGTTCACCAGGGAGTATCTTGATTTGGGCAATAAAATTTCTAAACAACTCTTTTTTTGTCTTCCTCTTCCTCAGGCTGTAGCACGTGTTGAGAAGGATTCACATGTTGTTGCCTTTTCGCATGAAATGGTCCCTTGTCCTGTGACAGCTGATATGATGTTACCTCAAGTATTAGTGAAAATGTATGAAGTATGTAAAATTAAAATAAAATAAAATAAAATTGGGAGACTGCCCTTGCTAACATCAGAGTTGAGAGGTCTCAGCAATTACATAATTTGCATTTTATTTTGTTTGCAATCATTCTTGGTGCTGTGTTTAGATGATATCTATATAGTAAACCACAGGAATCTTTCCCTCCCTTTTATTTAGGGAAAGTTCAACTAGAGTGATTATTTTGACTTCCTGAATATTAAATAATGACGTTGACAATGGCATTACTAGTTCACAGTGCTTACTTTAAAAAGAATAAATAAATAGCAGAACAGAAGTGAATTGAACGAATGAAGTGTTGTTTAACAAAGAGGCCTCTGAATATAACAAAACATGAAGCTTACCTAAAAAGCCTTTTTTCCATGGCTTACTAATTTCTGTAGTAATATATATTCCATGTATATGCTTTTTTTCTTTTAAGATTCCAATGGGTACCACTGATTGTTCCCTTCCAATGATATGGGCTCAGAAAACACAGACAGCTGCTGATGTCTTCATTGTATTTACTGATAACGAGACTTTTGCTGGAAATACTCATCCTGCAACAGCTCTTAGAGAGTACAGGGAGGTAAATATACTTCTGAGTGCTTGCAATTGATCAGTGCAGTACAAAATATGTCACTGCTGTCCATGTTTTAGAGACTTAACAAGTTGTGGCTATGTGAAGTAAATAATTTATACAGTGTTAAAAAAAATTATATTTTCTACTTTGAATTAGTGGAAATAATTGTACATAGTTAATGACACTGAATTACTAAAAGGATTTGTGATTAACCTACTCTGCTTTGGCATTCAGGGAATATGAATTTCTGCATTCTATATGATTGATCTAATAAGTTCTAATACAAATAAGTTAATTGTTGGAAAGTTCTTAAATTTATTTCTCTGAGCTCAGTGTTACTGTTTAACTTGGATCTCTGCATTAGATTCCCCCAGACTATTAATGAAGTAATGAAGGTAAGCCTGTAGAGAATGAGGTGATAGTATCCTGTGAAGAAAGTTCTGTACATTTCAGAGGGGCTGTGTAAGCTGTGTAGCTTCAATGTTTGGAAATAGAACTAACAAAAATACCTTCTTGCCAGCACATTGCTATTAAAACTATGACTTGAACAGCAATCTTTCACGCTTTAAGGGAAGTGTTTTTAAGTTAATATACCTTAAACTACCAATACAACTGTGTATGGACGTTGTCATTTGAATCATATTCAGTAATATGAAATTAATACCTAAATCTTTAACTTGTGTGGTGAAACTCTGGCAGAGTTATTTGTAGAGCTTAGCTCCCGTGCCTACATTTGTGCTTTTGACATGGTGTTTCTGTACTCTGATCTTTCTAAAAGTTGCTTTGCTTCACCTTACATGTTGCTAATCTACAAATTTGGCTCATGTAGTTGAATTGTTCAGGCCACAGCTGTTTTTGTTGTTTAACCAACATTTGGAAATCCTTGCCTTAGACAAAAATACACTCTGACTTTTATTAGATGATTTATTATCATCAGATCTCAATATTTTCAAATAGCAAACAGTGTTGACATCTGAAATGATCTATGAAACAATATTGCAGGAAAGTTTTTTTTTTTTAATATCCTTCATTGTAATTACTTCATTTTATTTTAATGTCACTGATGTTTCTATTGCAACTTAGTGTTAACAGACAGTCTGCTATTCTTGTCATGACACGTCTGGTTTCTATCAGTTTCTGTGCCTTTTCAGACAATGGCTTACGTAGGCAGGATTGCAAGATTTGGCCTGTGGCATGTTTCAGTTACTGTGCTCTAAAAATATCTTTTTGTTTTTCTTCTAGAAAATGGGCATTCCTGCTAAATTGATTGTATGCGGAATGACATCAAATGGTTTTACGATCGCCGATCCAGATGACAGAGGCATGTTGGATATATGTGGTTTTGATGCTGGAGCTCTGGATGTTATTCGAAACTTCATTTTGGATTTGATTTAATTTTCTAGGCATCTGTTCTTCCCTGTGGGTCCATTGCTGGCAACAGACTTAACCCTGGGAACCCCTGGCCAAATGTACTTTATTAGAATATGGCACATAATATACATATCAAAAATGTTACCTTTTTGTGAGGGGAAAGCAAGAAAAGCAGATGATAAATCACTTTTCTCCTTTTTCCTGTTGTGCACAAATTAAAATAACGGTGGGAAGTTTGCTAAAAGTTACGGGGTTACACAACATGTAATTTAATTTCATTTATAATAGATCATGAACACAGAGATGTTTTCCCCCCACTGCTGCGTGATGGTTGTTTACAAGAATAAATTGATGAATTATTCCTAGGATGGGGCAGGAAAGAAAAGTGGTTTTAGCTTTTTAATAATGTCAGTTTAGCAGCAGGTTAGTTGAGTGTGTTTTTTTTTTTTTTTTTTTTTCTTTGGGCCTTTTTAAAATTTAGGTATTTTTAGCAAATTCCTAAGCTTCAACAGTTTCCATTGTCATACTTTGGGTCTACAAAAACCCATTTTCTGGCACAGGTAAGACCGCGCAACTGTGAAGTATAAACGTTACCCAGTGAAATTTCACACTGATAAACCTGAAAGGGGAAGAGCTCATGCTAAATCTTCTAGCAGGGATATCTGGATTTCTAGGAAAAAAAAAAAGTTCTTAGAGAGGAGAAATTTCTGCAGTTTCAGAAGCACTGTGTTAGAGTTTGTGTGCTTCAGAGAAAATTTTACAGATTTGCTAGGCCTAGAAATGTCTGGGAAACCACATTCAGAGCTTGCTGTGACTTCAGGCAGCAGCAGCATGCTTTTCAGCGAGGAAGATCAGCAAGTGCATGCATCTTAGCCTACTCTTGAAAGCTGAATGGCAACAACCAGAAACAAATAACCATGTTTTCTTCAAAAGAATGTATTCAATGACACGTAAATAATCTTCTTGATGCAAATACTTCATTTTTACAGTCTTTTTGTAGATGAACACTACTTCTGATTTCTTTAATTTAATCTAATGCTTTTCAAAACTACCTCCAGTTTATAGTGACCAATTCTTAATAGCTTTTATGAAATATACAGTTGCCTCGTTCTCAAAATCTTGTTTAGGAAGTGACTGAAACTAGATTTTTTCTTTTTTTCATTCTGATAGTAAGAGTGTGAGGAAAGAAGGAAAAAGCTAGTGAATATCTTACCACTTAAGAGCAGGGACTGATAACAACTTGTGTGTATATGTATTTAAAATGCTGTGTATGTGTTTATAGATGTGTGTGTGGGGGGGAAGTTAGAAGATCTCTTTAGGAGATCGCGATCTTAGAGTTTTTTTCATTGATGGTTTTATCACTTCTCATCAGACATTTTATGTCGGCCTCTTTTGTGATAATTCTATTTTAAACAGTGAATTTGGTGTTAATTTGAAAATAAGTATGGTTTATAAAAATAACCCAACTGTGGTAAATGACATGTAAGACCACATTTTTCTGCCTAAAAAAGCAAGCTTTTAACTGTAAAATTCAAGCTCATATTATACTTCTGATACCTCTAATTATGCCTCCTACATATTGACTATAAATCCAAAGCTGCGGTTCTGTAGGATGGATATCTATTTGGTGCTATCTAAAATGAGATTACATGTTTCTGAAGGTATTCTGCTACAGACTTATACTCTACCTTAACAAATGAAAATGGTAAGGGAGTCCTTTTCTGACACTAAGAAACAACAGAATTGTTTTAAATCCATGTCTTAAAGAGCGGATGGTAGGTGCATTAGTTTTCAGGGAACATGAATCAAGTTACTTCTGGATTTTCACTGCTATTACGATGCAGCTCTGTTAGAATGCTTGAAGAACACTTTGCTAGCACCAGCTGGTCAGGTAACACACAGAAACAAACAAGTATTCCTACAAAAAACTAACAAAATAACACTTTGAGTTTGGAGAAAAAAAAATTGGTCTTTTCCTGTGGAAAAACTTCCTACCAACTGTAGTCTCCTTGCTGAATAAACATAATAAATACAGGGAATGAACATACTTACATGTTAATTATTTCAAGTAAATGCACTGGTTTGGGAAATATTTTTGGTAGTAGTGTGTTTGAAATGAGACAATAGTCAAACAACTGATCAGATGTTTCCTGTTAAGCTAGAGGTGTTGAAAATAACTGATGGCTAAGTATCTGTTGCAAGTACTTTTTCTTATTTGAAGTAGTATTTGTGAAGTAATAGGAAATGTGTTGGACTAAATATGGAATGAGAAACTTGAACTGGTATTTCAAGTAACTTTTGGCAGTTAACTGCATAAATATACTGCAGGTAAAACATTAGTTATTAACAGTGACTGAAATTACAGTAGCATTGCAATGTTGAAAGTGGTTCCAGTTTAAAATACGATTCCTTGAAGTACAGGGAAGGTGAATTTTTCAGTAGGACTTATAGAAAATGTAGCTCTCTATCTGTTGATGCTAGATATAGTTATCTGTGCTGGAGTACATAATATGCCCCTAAATATTTTCCTTAACTCCATATTGAAAAATGTTGTTAGAATATTTTATGCGGTGGCTGTCCAATGTAAAGCTAACACTGTTGAGATCCTGTTGTCATCTGCTCCCCCTTTAAAGTTTGCACAGAGGGAGAACCAAAGTGTTTCAGCTGTCAGCTTACTTTGTGGTGTGCTGACCCCTGTTCCTGCTGTCTTCTTTCTGGGGTTGTTACTGTCTTGTGTTAAGTGGCATAAGAATGATGCTGCATTTTTCTTTTCCATAGGAAAAAGTTAATGGGTTTTTTATCTGCCTGCATGCTGGATTTCAGGAGGACAGTATGACTTATGTGCTATAATACACATTTCTCCTATAAACTGGTAATTCCTAAAATGGTACCTGAACACGTGAAGGGGCAGCAATTGTGATGTGTAATATAATGTGCTCTGATTCTTTTTAAACAAGACCTGAGACAAAATTGTTAAATTTAGGTGATAATTCAATACACCATCACTAACCTGCCCTTTCACTAAAGAGGAGACATGACTTTCTCAATTTGATAGTATCTTTTGCATTGGAGGAACGCTTGGACTAATAAAGCAAATGGGGCTGTAATTGTGCTCTGCAGTTTACCTGTAAAATAGAACAGGAAAGAATTTAAAAATGGTGAAGTTTAGAATAAACACTTAAAGTCTAAAAGTGCAGCTGGGCGAATGCAGGTTTCCTGATACATGTCACCATTAATAGGCTTTCAGTTTGACTGTCATTTCAGTGAGATTCCCTAATAATTCTTAGTCTAAGACATAATAATCTAATAATATTCAGGCACTTTACCGTTAAGGAAAGGATCTAATGGTTGGCAGCACAGCTGAAGTAAAATGTTCATCTATAATGAAGAGCTGTAAGCGGTGGACATCAGAGGGGCAGGCTTTTTCACTGCAGTGATACACTTAAGAATATGGAAGGCTTCTAAATATAATACAATGAGTCACCATTGCGTAATGAATCAAGACAGTTGTGATTTTGACAAGAACTAAGATTCTGTGCCAGGAATTGTATAGCAAGAGAGAGCAGGGTTTGGGATGCTTGTAGAACTTAATTACACAGGGGCTTAATTTGCAGTTTTCTGCGCTTGAAGAAGTCTAAAGGTCAGTCTAGAATAGATACAAAGTTAGTGAGGCTGGTTTAACTGCCCAGTATGCAATGGCTGCTAACAACTGGCTGTAAAGTAACTTGCTGCTTTAAACCACAGTTCAATAATTGTGGGAGCAGGATGTTGAGAGGCTATCCGATAGAGTGTGTGTTCTTGGCTAAAGAAGAACACCAGTCATTTTGGAAATGTATTTTAACAATGGCTCCAACTGAAAAAACACTAGGAAAATATTTTTCTCCATTGGAAGATACTGTTCTTCTTAATCGTGTACCTAACTTGTAGCTTTCATACCAGAAGCACTACTGTTGGTTCCACTGATGTTTGGCTTTGGTATTACCATATTTTCCCATGTCCTGCTTTTCTCTACTCATGTTGGCTTTTTTTTCCCCATCATTCCAATCACTGAGTGAACTTTAGTTTATACTTGAATCTCTCTTTGCTCCATGCTCTCCTCCTCTGTTCTGTTGCCTGTGTTCTGCCTTTATGCCATTGTTGAGCATGATAGCTTAGCTAAGCAACTTATTCCACAACTGATGTCATAGTACTTAATTTTAAAAGCAGGACAACTTTATTTACCTTTCTTTGGTTATATAATTCTCTAATAGAGTATTTAATTTGCTGTATTTGTCAGATCTTTGGTTTTAAAAGTTGCATAAATTACAAAAGTGTCTTTATTCTTTTAAAAATCCAGCCTCTGCTGTTGCAATTAAATGGTACTGTTTTCACAGAATAATTTAAAAACGGCTTCTCAAATGTAAATCTTCTTTTCAGAATTAGTTTGTTGGGTCAGAGCTTTCCATTCCCTTTAATGTTGTCAAGTTGCTGTTACATGCAGAACAAGAAAAACATATGAATGAATCCTCTAGATGAATGGGCAGCTTCTCTGCAATATTGAAAACATTTGAAGAATAGAATGCATAGAAATAAAGCAGAGCACAAGTCACTCATCTTGCTCACACTTTGTCTTGTTTGTTAAGCATTTTGCCAGTTTGTAAGTTTGTTTAGCTGCTTGCAGTGGTTCACAGAGTACAGATAGGTTTTGAGTAACTTTTTCCAATGGCTATTTTGCTGAAATGATAGATTTCATTGCACCACAACACAGTACAGTGTACAATGCTGCCAAGGAAGACTTAAGGGGGAAATGTAAAACAAGGCTGTATGCTGCTCTGAGCTAAGACTTTAACTTAAGCAGAAAGTATGATGTCTTTAAGTTAATGTGCTTAAAGTTGGATTGATGATTTTGATACTGTCAAGTGTGGTTTCTCTGGGTATTTCTGCATTCTAAATCTATATATTTGCATATGTGTACATGGTATGTTGGGACCTTCACAAATGCTTTGTTAACAAATAATGAATGGAGATAGCTGTTTTCCTGATGATACCAGTTTTTTTTTGTTAAGTGCAACTAATTGCAAAGAAATGTCTGTTCCATTATGTTCTCAACTAGAAGTGTAGTTCTACTCTTGAGGAAGAATCCTGTGGAAGAAATGTGGAAGAGCAGATGAGTGCATTCACAGTTCTGTCTGCTTTGTGAAATAACTAAGTTTGCTTCCAGCTTCTTAGGAGCGTGGTATTTGAGCTGGATGAGTGCTTATCTTAAGTATAATTCCTATTACAGAGGATTTTAGGGGGTAATTTTGAACATTCAGATCCTAAGGAGAGAATTATGGTAAGATAAACAGCTTTTGTTCTAGAGATGATTTTCTATTTTTTTTTTTTTTAAAGCAACAGTTTTAATGATTGGCTTTGAATGCCTCCTTCCCCCCCTTTTTTTTTCCCCCAGAGTAGAACCACACTTCAGCTGCCATATCATGTTTAAACAACTTAAACGTAACGTGGTGGCTTTCTGCTATCTGGTAACGAAGCCACCGTCTTGCTGCTACTTTCTATGGAATTACACAAAATTAACAAGAAAATATTTGGATGGGGAGCCTTAATGCAGTTGAAAAGAAGCATAATTAACCCTTTGATTGCCTTAAGAACATGATTTTCTGTAATAAATTGGCACTTGTTGGACTGTGCAGGCAAACAGCATGCTTTCTCAACCATTGGAGCGGAATATTGCCTTAAGTGACAATGCCCTGAGACTTCTGAAATTTAGAACTCGAAGGGTTATTTTAAACTATTGTTTGGGGGCTTTTTCTAACAGGGAACAAAATGAAAAATTTCTTTGCATACCGTGAGTACTTACATTATGGATTTGCAGGCTTTCCAGGTGCACAGTTATTAACCTTGTCAGAAGATATAACTGGCCTAAGAATGATGGGCAAAGAATACTTTGATACCAGCATATGTGCAAAATAAATTCTTCTATTAAGTATAAATTTAGGGAGAGATGCACACTTGTTTGTTTAACTTAATGAGTGTCGTTGTCAAGAATTAAGACTGATGAAATTAGAAAAAATAAGTAGTAAATTGCAATGGTGAAAACACGAGGTCAGTGTGTTATCTCTAATTACATGAATTAAAGATGCACAGTGCAGACCAGCTGCATACTGAACACTTTCTACAAATAATATTATTTAAATTTATTTCAAACCTGCATCCCAAAAAGGAAGCTGTCAAATTCAGATGATAGTCTTGCAATCCTAGTTAGCTAAAGATCAGTGTAGAGCTTTTGTTATCTTGAGGAGGGATTGAATAGAAATCCTTGACTAGCATTTTTAGTCTAAACTGTGCATCTTTAGTACTGTAATGGTCTCTTACTAAAGAAAGAAGTTTTTACTACTGACATATGAGCTTTCTTGAAATAACCAAGTCTTGGCATTGGTTGGTCTGGCTTTGGATGTACATTTTACTGAAACTATTGAATTTAGGTTTTTTTAGACATTTAACTGCAAGTTAATACTGCTAGTAAATTGCATTTTTGACTGTAGAATATAAATACTAAATAAACTCTATGCATATTGGACTCATTGTGTGTGGCCTTAAGTGTCAAAATAGCATTGAATGGTTCATAACATGGTCTGTAGCTGCAGATTAGGCACAGGTGATCTGGCTTACACCTCGAGGCTATTCCTGAATGACAGTATATAGACTGGTACTGCAGAGTAAAGACTTACACGGTGGTTACCTCATGTTCTAAATGTTCTAAAATGACAAGCATCTTCTCCCTTTTTACTGCACCAATTAAACTTCAGTAGTGAGGTGATGAGATATTGAAATTAGAGGGAGGCAAATGAAGTTAGACATCCTGCACCCTTCATATCCAGGCCTGGCACAAGAGAACAGCCCACTGCTGCAATATGTCTGCTTCCACAGACATATGACAAAAGAACTAAAAGCAAGTTGGCTGGATTTGGAAGACTTCTGTAGATCTTCAGCAGATCTTAATGTATTTCAGTACTATCAAAACCTAGCTGGTTTTAACATGATAACTGAGCTGTTTGCAAGCCTGGGTAGCTGAAGGTTTTGTTGGACTCTGATCAGATTGAGTGATTATGAAAGGCAATGAAGAAACTGACTCACTTCTCCTACTCTCAGCTTCCATTAAAATGAACAATGGATGTTGCCACTGGGCTTCCTTGACTGATTCCATGTTTGTATAACTTGTTCCCATAATTACAGTTAAATAATAAACAAAATTACAATGGAATTTGCACAAAATACAGCGTTTCAATACTGTTAAAACACAAAACAAGTGCAAGTATAGGTACTGATTTTAATAGGAGGCAAAAACACTTGAATGAGTAGTACAAGTAGTGTAGAAGTAGCAGAACTTTCAACAAGTTTTACACAGCAACATCACTACAACTTCGTTGCTTCATAATTGCTTTGTGGCCCCCTACAGAGCCATTGTACTGACCATGCAGTGCAACGGTGGGAACAAAACCAGAAATGAAACTTATGTGCAGAAAACAAGTAAAAACCACCCAGGCACTAAGATTCTTAACAACTTTTAACTCCTGTACAGTTGATAGTGTGAGGCATATTATGAGGATGTAACAAAAATGACATGGTTATCTTAGACCTGGGTTCCAAGAGATACATAATGTTAACTGCCACTGTGGTTGTGGTAAAGCTGAGGCAAGAAGACAAATTTGTCAGTTCTGTGAAGTCTGTGTCAGAGAATCACTTGAGACTCAAAAAAGCACAGTCTGAAGCTGCTTAAGCCCAGCTGTTGCAGTACATCTTAGTGATTTTTTAACTTGTCTGAATTTTTACCCATTTTATATAAAAGATAATTAAGGCTAAATAGTAGTTCCAGAGTTTGTTTTCACTTGACACTGATGAATTAATGGGAGCAGCTTGCCTTCTTCATGAAGTCTTTGAGTATCTGTAGCACCTCCAACAAAAGTCCCATTAACAAACACTCTTGGGACCTGTCAGGAATGTGAAATTTGCATTTGTTACTTCAAATAACAAAATCTAAGCAAACACCATACACATGCAAGCACTGTTCTGTGTTCATACAAACTACAGTCTCATTGTGAGTGTATGTGTGTGAATATACACATATGAAATATTTACATTCTTAATATACAAATTCATGTTTCAATATTATTGCATAACTTATGTTTACAGAAATTGAAGACTTTGTTTATGTGTTCCTCTCAAAAGGAAAATAAAATCACTATATGGAAGACTGTAATAAATTTTTAAAATTTGAGTCAGGCAAGGCTACATAAAATTAAGACATAAACGTGTTGTACACAATGAAGTGTACGTGCAGATGAAAACTGAGTTTGATACTTACATGACCTTAGTAGCATTACAGAAAACAACACCTCTCAGACCTGAAGAGGAAAACCAAGCACAGAACTCTCTTGCAGTTCTTGCTTTTAATTTCAGAGCTTGTATCCTAGATTTACTTGGCCCACCAAAAATTAAGACCTCCAGATGGCTGTAACCCATAGGGAAAATGTGCAGTGTAAATTCTTCATCGCCATATTACTTGCAAAAAAACCCATACTTACTGTTCTGCCACCCGTCATCTGTTCAAGAATGTCTTGGAACTGGCTTCCATTTTTATTCACATCCAGTTCTACAGCTGTGTAATCGACGTTTAAACCCTCAAAAAGTTTTTTTGCCATTCTGCAGTAGAAGCATGTTGTTTTAGAGAAAATCACCACGCAGTTGCCTGAGATTACCTCCTATATATTCAAAAGAACATTCAAGTTAGTAAGTTGGTGTATTTTAACAGTATCCAATGGGTATGAAAACAAGCAGCAAGCTACCAATCTGCTACTACAGCAACAAACTCTTGGGACGGGTAACTTTACAAGGTTTAAACCCCAATACTGCGAGCAATACTAAGTTTGAGGATCACCTGTTACCTGGATCTGATTCACAGCAGCAGCATCAGACAGCTCGACAGAGGTGGGCAGCCTATTTCCCATTCTAAAACTGAAGAGAAATTTAAGTTTAACACACGACACGTTCTGCAGTCCTCAATTTAAAGGTTAGCTTCGTACCATTTTCTTTAAACGGAATTCCTCCGTGAGGTGGGAGCTCACAAAGCCCGCAGTACGGCAGTTCCTACGCGCCTTACCCTGCACTGCCGGTTCCCTCGCGCAGGCAGGAAGACGGAGATTAACAGCCTGCTATGAGCTGTGAGATCACCCAGACCCTCCCAAGAAGTGATACGGGCTGCACCCAGCTCCCCCCACCCACCGGCCCGTTCCGCCGCCCCCTCCTCACAGCCCCCAACCCACCGGCCCCGCAGGCGCAGCGCCCTCTGCAGGAACATGGCGGCCGCCAGGAAGGGGCGGTGCTCTCACGCAGTCCTCACGGCGGTCCGGTACCGCTCTCAGGCTCCTCCTCTCAGCACCGCCCCGCAGGAAGCGCGGCTGCCCGGCGCTCTGCCTGTGCCCGCCGTCCATCGGGCAGCAGCGGTGAGGGAGGCGGAGTGGCCGTTATGCTGTTAGATTCTGAAGCCAGTTATAAAGCGTTATTCGGGCCCGCGCTTGCGCCCGCACCTCCGTTTTCCGGGCCCGGCAGGTCGGTTGCTATCAGGCGTTCGACGCAGGCAGCCCAGGGCCTGGCGGCCGACGGCGGGGTCCTTCCTCGGCTGGCGGAGGGGCCGGGCCGGAGCGGAGCGGCGGCGGCCGGCGGCTTCGGGCGAAGATGGCGGACGTGCTGAGCGTGCTGCGGCAGTACAACACGCAGAAGAAGGAGATCGTGGTGAAGGGCGACGAGGTGATCTTCGGCGAGTTCTCCTGGCCGAAGAACGTCAAGACCAACTATGTCATCTGGGGGTGAGCGGCGGGGCCAGCGGGGCGGCGGGTGGCCGCTGTGGTGAAGACGGGGCGGGCCGGGAGCTGGGAAGAAGTCGCCTCGAAGTTGCGGGAGGCGGCGGCGGAGCGCAGCGCACGGCCGGGAAGGGCCGTCCTCGGCCTCCCGCAGCTGGCCGGCGGCGAGGCCTGGCCGGGCCGGGTGCCGCCGGACGGGGTCCGGGCTCGGTGTGCGGCCGGCGGCCTCGGGGACCGGAGGGCTGGCGCGGTGTGGGGTGAGAGGCGCTCCTCTGAGAGCTCCGGGTGCCATTCGGCCGCCTGCGGGTGGGACCGGCGCAGTGCCCTCCTCGTACGTGCGCTGTGCCTACTGCGTAAACGGTGCTGCTAGGCGTAGTGGGTCTTGAAGAAAAAAAGAGTTTTTGGACCTGTTGAACTTGGTTTTGATAGCGCTGTTTACAACACATGAGGTTACTTCCTCTTTTTTCTCCATTGAGCGGTGATATAACATAACATCCACGCTGGAAGGGCTTCAGTGAGCCTCGTAAAACACAGCCTTTAAAACCGAGGGAAAGTGATGCTTTCTGTTAGATACAAAGTGCTGCCGAAGTACTTTAAAACATGATAGAGAAGTAGAGGAAACTGAAAGATTTCTCAAGCAAACCCCTTGTTGTTCAGCCCGAGAGCAGGGAGAGCAGGGATTTGTTTTGTTCTTGGTGTTATGATGAGAATATTAGTAGTGGTGCAATGTCCTGATTTGTACTTCAAGAGAGAAAGGAAACTGAAACTGTTCCCTTAGTTCATAGGCAGATTAATTTGTTTCAACTGGCTTTATTTTGCTCACAGTGTAGAACTAGAATTGTGCTATCTCGTTATCTGTTTCAAGCTCTCAGAAACTTGTTTGGGATTTAGTTGCGCTTTCTGGCTGCGAGGGAGATGCTGGTAAGTACATAGGGAGGAAGAGAAATATCTGCATAAGCAGCTGAGCTTTGAAGTCCTTGACAAATTCTCGTTCTGTTCTGCTGAGTAACTCTGGGCAGCTAGGGTGTTTTCCTTGCTGCAGTTTGTCTTTCTGAGCAGTAAGGAGTAAAGGCTAACTGGACGGACAACTTTCATCCCTGTTCTGTAGGAACACAGAAGCTGATATGCAAACCGAACTGTTAATGCTTAGGAAAACTTGATTTGGGCCTGTGAGTTATTACCAAAAGATAAGAAGACAGCGTCTGGAGAGAAAAACTTTACTATGCGCGTTAAGGTGGCTTTATCTATATGGAGGAAGGATTGGGGGTGAGCAGAGGGTGTGCGTAGCTGAACAGAAGCAGTAGCTTTGTAACAGCTATGTATTTCCTCTTGTCTTCTGACAGATTTTAGAGATATCTTTTTTTTTATCTTGGTAGATTGTAGTTCACACTCAAGAAGATGGCATCTGAACTTCTGGTAGCATCAGACTGCTACTGATGCAGAGCATTTCTTGTGAACCACGGGTACTTTAAGTCCTTGAAACAAAGGTGTAAAAATGAAACCAGTTCTACAAGCCGTGCTGAGCAGCTTTGACACATAGTTTATGAGCTGTTAATTTATGTAATTTCAGGGTCATACATGGAACATCTTCAGGAACTTTTCAGATTCAAAACCTCTAATATCCTCGATCACTTGGGAGGGTCCAAGCTGTGCTTGCAGTTGTTGTAGCTTAATCTTTCATGAGGCAAATACGACTTCCATCTTAGGTGTCTACAGCGTG